GGTTAAAGTCTTATTTTTATAACTTTTTTATCAAAATGTATTGGTAAGTGTGAAACTCTTTGTATTACAAGTAAAATAGAATGGAGGAAGTATAATAATGCTTTATAGCCTTACAGGCACTTGTTAAAATGTTTTCATATTGCATTTGCAAAGTTTCATGTTTATCAAGTTTAAGGCTAATTACTTTTAAACATTCTTAGATGACATGTTTAAATTATACAATGCTAATTAAGTCATGTATGATTGCTGAAGCCCCATGCCGTTGATGATGATTAACGACTGTTCACTCTATGAAGACAATGTAGTATTGAAGTCTTCGAAAAATCGAACAAAATTTGGAAGGTCAGCTGATGTTTACTTAGCAATAGCTACATTATATCACTTTTCTAGTGGGTGTAACAAAATTGGATAGTGTATGCTTGTTTGGATATTGGTCATGTTTATTGATATGTGTGATCTTTTGCTCGACTTATATATCCCAAAAGGCACAAGCAAGCGAGGATTGTAAGTGATGATGAGTCCTCAGAAGATGAAGAACTCATAACTTCTACTCCACCGCTAAAGAAAGGAAGGTGACGCTCTTCATGTAAAACCAACTTTTATATGCGTACTTGGCAATTTGAACTAAAAAAAATTGGTGACTGTGGAGTGTGGAGATGGTATGCTCAATTAGCCTATCGATTTTATTTGTAAATTTTTTCCCTGATAAATTTGCGCAAAATGGATGTTTCTGAAGTACTAAGCGGAAGAGAATCAAAAGCATTGTGAAGGCTATTGGTAATCCAAGAACGCCAAAATTGTAAGTTTATCAACTAATTTTATAGCTTTTTTTATGCTAAAGTATATATGCATATTAATGATGCTGCAATTTGGGGTTACTGAAGAAGTAAGAAGAAGAGGATCAAAATCAATGATTTATCTATCAATGAGAATGTCAAGGCTACTTACCATTCAAGAGTGAAAAAGAGGTAAGTTTATGCATCTATATTTGTTATGCCTTGCATGGCCTATCATGTCTAGATATGTATGCAAATTAATGTAGCTGCATATGGACAGTCAAAGAATGGACTTAAGTGTTCCTTTATCAATGGATGACAAGTCCTCTTCCATGAAGCGAGCAGAAGAGGTCCAAGCAAATCTGTCAGCTGAATCTCCTAGCTTTCTCAAAACAATGTTGAAATCACATGTTACTGGGGGGTTTTGGTTGGTAAGCCAGTGAAATTTGTAATACATGAATTTCCCCCATTCTAAAAGCTCACAGATTTGTGGCTTGATCTGGAGTTAGGTATTTATGTGTATGCATCTGATGTTACTTGGCTTTGTGATGGATAGGGTCTTCCGAGGAAATTCTGTGATGAGCATCTGCCAATTTGTGACTGTACCGTAGTGTTGGTGGATGAAGCTGGAAAGGGATTTGACACAGTTTATCTAGCTGGGAAAGCAGGTCTTAGTGGTGGATGGAGGGGATTTTCTATCTATCATGAATTGCTTGAGGGCGATGTGTTGGTCTTTCATCTGATTGAACGTACAAAATTTAAGGCAAGTTTGTCAGACATATACTCTCTAAAAAGTACAGAAATACTTGAGCATTGACAAGAAAATGCAGGTTTACCTCCTACATGTGCATGTCACTCTCACTAATTTTTATCAAAATTTCCTAAATTTACACCTAGGCAGCAGAAATCCCAAAGTTTGTGAGAGTGATGTGCATATCTAGGAGATTAACTGGGAATCCACTGAGTCTTCGCTCATAGTTCATGCTAGAACATTCTGTTTCTGGTATCTAATATGGTTATGACATGAAAGCACATGGGCAACTATAAAAATGAACTGAACACAAACAAGAGCGTAATTTGATGGTAATTAAAATCCTGAAGTTCATGCCCTTCATAGTTTTGTTGTACTACTAAGTACAGATTCTGGGTTTTCTTTAGGCTTAGTTATGCGACTTATGCCTGCCTTTGATTGGTCTAGCTATGCCCAACAGACTGTTAATTCTCTGGTTACGCATAAGTTGTTACACATCTTAGGAATTTGCAAATTGCAATATCACACTTATATTGGGGAAACTGAGTAAGCAATTAAGCATCCCCTTGTGTCTTTTGCCAACCAAGTAATCTCTAAAAATTCTCTACAATTTGTGCAATCCTAAAAATTTCTATGATAACCAAACAATCACTAAGCCTTTTCTATGTTCCTTGTCTACTATGCATACATTGCAAAGCCAGGTTCCTTCCCATTTCCCTATGCAAAATTTTGCTACATTACATATCATCACATGCATTGCAATGCTTCTACAGATTTATATAATAAGAGAACAAAGTTTTGGTGAAGTTGATGGCGCTTTAGGGCTCCTAACCTTGGATTCAGGGGTAGGAGAGCGGAAATCAGGTAAATAGCTTGTTCTTGTGACCGCTTCTGTGTCAAAATTATAATATTAATAGTCAAAACCTTCACAACCATTTAAATGCAGAAGACCATAGTCAAATGGTACAAACTGAAGACAACTACACTGCAGTGGACCATTTAAGCAGCAGTGACATTCATTTGGGCTCTGAAGTGCTTGATGGGATCCGCTTATCAGATTCTTCCATCAAGTTTGAAGGAGTGAGTGACCTCAAGAACTTTAGCATCATTGTCGATGCCCTCCTCTTAGACTCCAAATTCACTGACAGTTCACGAAAGAAGTACTATGAGCTCTGTTGCAACCAAAAATCTTTTCTGCAGGAGCACTTTCTGAAGGGACTGAACTGCCATTTGGTGGTTGGGATTATTTTAGAGACTGTTAACATAGCGGATGCCATCAGATCATATGAGGAAGCTCCTACATCTCATGAAGATCTTCAGAGTTGGGAGATAACATTGAGAGGGTTCGAGTTGCTGGGCATGAAGGTAGAGTTCTTGCTTGCTTCGATCAACAAACTTCTTGGCCATTCTGTGGAATCTGAAGCAGTTAATGTATCAAACATGTTGAAATAAAAAATAATTAATCGGTCTTTAGCTGGGGAGAGGATGAAAGCGCTTGAGAATAAACTCAGACAGCTTAAAGAGTCCATGGAGAAGATCGATTTTGAGATGGACATGGAGATAGCAATGGCAAGTTCATGGAAAAAGGAATCCAAGGTTGAGGGTATTCCTGCTGCTGTGTGCCAGTGTGGTGATTAACACTAGGAGAATCAGTTGATTAAGCAGTTTTTTGCCCTCAAAGTTGAGCAATTTCTGCTGTTTTTGTATAGTTAAAATTCACTGATCATATCTGTATACCATACCAACATATGGTGAAATGTTGGTGTGATAAATTTTTGACAGTAGTCAGTAGCTCCTCTATTGTGAGCATGATCATCTAGAGCACAATTCAAAGTAAAACAGGGAAGTTTACAAGTGTAGGTTGGTAGGATACTTTTTCCTCCATCCTATTGCCTTGCTAACCAGCTTAGTTAGTGTCTTTTTGGATCAAATCTTGTTTATAACATTAACCTTCATTTTGTAACAATCACTGTGATTCATGACTAGATATGGAGCATATTGTTAGCTCGTACCTTAGCTTTTGAGGATGAAAACCGTTTTCCTTGATGCATTTTCGATCAAACTTTTGTAAAGGAAAAATCACTTTTCTCCCTCATTTTTCTGTTTGATTGGATTTCATGTATTATGATATTGTATGATCCAATTTATTTATTTATTTTATCTAAATTGAGTTGTGAAAGGATCAAAATTTCACATTAGAAGGTACGAGTCAATGATAATTTGAGGTTCTAATAATATAATTAAACAAAATGATATGAGGGTTGAATTAGGATAGTGTGTAAACTGTAAATATAAAAGGGTATGTATTTTTTTTTTTTTTTTTTTGAAGGGGGAGATTAAAATTCATTAATAATAAGCCTTACGGCACTTACATAAGAAATCGTAATCGAACAATACAAAGACAAAAGAACCAATTACAAGTTCGAAATAAAGGAAACTACAATTGCACGCGCAAAATGACTTTCTGAAATACCCTTGGCTCATATAACGCTGTCCTATGCAGCCTCTTGCAAGGGGGTCTAGCAATATGTTGTAGTTTCTGACGTGAACCTTCATTGACTCAGAATCCCATACTCCTCGACCAGAAATCAAACTTGGTGCCATACACTTCACCATTGACAATACAATCTCTGATTCAAACACGGACCCCAGCTCGGAAGGATAACCCTTCAGCCCAAACCAACAGAAGATCAAACCAAAGCCCCATAGCCAAAAAACCCGGTTCAAAACATGCACCAAAAGATCGACACACCGATCTGCACACCCCATAGCACACAAACGCACCACACAAGAAGAAAAAATAACAAACCCTAAAGAACAACACACACAACGACTAAAATAAGAAACAGACAGAAAATTAAAAACGAGAACTACAAACGAAACCCTAGCAAACGACCCCGCAGCCAATCCGAGAACCACCATCCAAGCACCGAGGTTCACCAACCCAACCCACAAACCACCGTACAGGAAAGCCCGACCCGTAGGAACCCGCCCGAGAAGCCCAAACCCCACACAACCCTGAACCGCGGCAACGATGGCTGGAAACACCAGACTGAGAACGGCCCTACGCGAGGGACTTAGAGGGAGATAACTCTCCCTCCCCGTTCTCCTGCAAAACGTCGCGACGACGACGGCCAAGGCGGTGGAGCAGAGACACGGCGGGGGAGCGGGGAATAAGAGCGGCGGCAAGCCGGCAACAAGGCTGGTGAGGAATAGCGGCGGCCGGAGAGGGGAAGCGGCGAAAAAAGCTAGGTCGACCGGACAAAAAATCAAAGCGAAAAAAGAAAAAAAAAACACCTCAAGGAAGTAGATCGGAGGCTCGCCGACATAATGGCATGGGCGGTGAGCCGCACACCCGCCGGCGAGCCTCATGGTCGGAGCGATTTTGAGAAGACGGTTGGGTTTTTTGGGGGAGAGAGAGAGCGTTTGTTATGAGCTTTCTTTAGAAGATTTTTAAAAGGGTATGTATTTAACACGCTCGCCACATGTCTAATTAGGATTCTTAATTACGGCTCACATAATATTCCACACATAATTTCAAACCAAAAAAAAAAAATCCCATATCAATTTTTTACTCAATGCTCAGAAATTGAAATATCAGCCCTAATAAAGGCGGCATACCATACCAATTTCCTTCATCACCTTGTCGTCTTATTCATCTATCTATATATATGTATAATCTTCAAATTTAGTTTTCAAATTAACTAAAAATAAAATTCTAGAAAATTACTGGAGCTAACAAAACAAACAAATTCCTTCATTTCGATTAACCAATGTAATCTTTGTTCAATTTTCTCTCTCATCTTTACCTTTTTCTCCTAGTATTTCACTGTTATAATTCCCTTTTTGTATTATAGTTTCTGGGTTTTAATTTATTTATTTTCAAATTATTTAGGAGGCATTCAGTGAATCGTCCACCAACACCAGATGCAGGGGATGAACAAGAAAAAGAACTTTCCCTTTCAGAAAAAATCAACATTAAGGTCTATTTCTTCAACCCCACTAATCTGTTTCTGGAAAAGATTATCTTACTTTTTTGCTGATTGTTTGTTGGCAGATCGTTAAATTTGTGGGGTTTTTATTTTAATCATTGTTTGAGCACCCCCAAAATTGTGAATTTTGATTTTGTTGAATATAATTTTTAATTTGGTTGATTATTGAAATGGGTTTTTGGTTGATTGACTTTACAGTTGATTGAGAGTGGAGAAAAGGAGAGATTGATGGATTTGTTGAGGGAAAGGCTGATAGAACAATGTATACTACAAGAGGGGGGGTGAATTGTAGTGTATGTAGACTATGGTAAATTTTGCGGAATTAAATCTACTACTAAGAGAAAAGACACTAAGATAGGCAATGAATAAATTCACTATATAAAAATTATTTACAATCACTAATACGTTGCCTAGACTCAAGTTCCGTGAGGAACTCAAGTTACCCAACTGTGATCACTCAATCACAGTTTCTCACACTTTGTGATTCTACTCCGAATCACTTGTACAGTGTAAACATCTTTCTCTAGTCTCACACTTTACAACTCTCACAACCCAAACCCAATTACACAATGATTACAAGTATTTCCTAAAGAACTTAAGAGACTAAGGATGGAAGGAACTTCTCTTTTAAACACTTTGAAACTCTATGCTCAGAATACTTAAGATTGTTTTTCCACGCTTTCAAAACTTAACGTTGATCTGTTTTTATAAGGAGAATATTCAAGCTTCCATCAAATTCCCACTTCCCCCTTAATCCCACGTTCTCTCGGCTGAGAAGTTGGGATGTAGGCAGAGGAAATTTAGGAACATGATTTCCTTAGCTTGACTCCCAAGTTCAACGTTCTCCTTAATACTAGGAGCCAGTATTTACCAAGTCAAAAAAATCAGTTATTCAAAAAGATAATTATTTAATAAAAAAGATAATTATTTATTTATTAATTAAAAGATAAATAATTAATTAATTTAAAACTTATCTTTTTAAATTAATGAATTATTTATTTATTTATAAAATCTTTTTAAATCTTTTTCAAAACTGATTTTTATCACTTCCTTAAATTAAGGGATATGAAAACTGTTTTAAAACTTTCGTTTAAAACTTTCTGAGTCAATCGTCAAGTTCCTTCGGGAACTACAGGTTCCTTCAGGAACTTCGAGTTTCTTCTTAATTCCTTCCATTCCTTCTAACACTTTTGTTTCTTAAGCTCGTACACTGAGTAACTAAGTATATAGAGTTGTGAGGACATCTTGAAAGCTTGCATTCATCATCAAGTCTTCCAAACTCTGTTGTTCCTACTCCGGAACATGTATTTGTGTACCTGAATCTTTCTGTTCAACCAAGACTCATAAACATCATTAGTCAGATTTTGTTTTATGTAAGTCAATCATCAAAATATTAAGGTAGTCAATTCAACAATATTCCCCCTTTTTGATGATGACAAACAAAAACAAACTTGGTTAAACGAAACAAACATCCAAGCAATCAGAGTAACCATTACTTAAATAAAACAATTAAATTATTTAAAGCAATAAAATAAACTAAGGATAAAGAAGTCTGCATCATTCATGAAATTAATAAATTGTGAAATTTATACCTTTACTTAAATGATGAAGACTTGAAGGGAATCGGTTTGAGTCCAGCTTTCTGAGTTTGTTCTTCTCTTCCCCCTTTTGACATTATCAAAATGATAGAAAGAGCATGCTATATATAGTACTAAACTACGGAGGGAGTAGTAAATCTGAATTCATGAACGATTAAGCATGCGCACACAGTTCATATGCAACCAAAATGAAAACATCAATTTCAAAGACAAACTTAGCCAGTTTAATACAAACCGAAATAAAAACAAAATAAAGTGTTCAAAACAAGCCAAACAAAATAAAATTGAAGGACAATATCACTGTTTAATAAATCACAAGAAAGAGTGGGGTAGGTTTGTTTTGCAAAGGGCTAGGAAATGGTAGCAGCTTCATGGTAAGGTAACATCCTTGATCGCATCGAGAATGGTCTTGTAACAACTTTGCTTCACTTTAGCTTTGAGTTCGTGAGCCGAGGAGTCCATATGAGCATTTACTTTATCTTCCAGAGAAAGCATCTGAGTTTGCAGCCCCTCAACTTTAGTAGCCAGGTTATCCACTTTAGAAGAAAGGTTAGTTATACTCTGTGTAAGTGTAGTGGACAAAAGCTGAAGTTCCTCCTGGATTTGCAAGGAACTTGGACCAGAGCTAAAAGCACTGAAGCCGAAACCAGAAGTACGAGGCTGTGAAGCAGGTGGAGAAGGTGTGGTTTGGTGAACAGAGGAAGGAATAGGGGGGTGGTGATGGAGTTCCTTCAGAAACAAGGGAAGACGAACCCTAAGGAACTTGTTGGGTGGAAGTTCCTTCATAAACTTTAGATGTATCATCATCCAATTCAACAATAATAACAGGCTGAGATCTCAGTGTTCTGGGTTTAGAAGAAGCAAGTCTAACGCTTCTCCTTTTTCTACCTGTTACAGGGACAATTTGTTTAACAGAGCCTCCAATTTCCTTGAGTAGCTCTTTCACTAACTCCTCTTTGTCATCTTTTTCCTCCTTCTCACTCTATATTTCTTTCTCTTCTTCTGTTTCCCTCTCTACTGCACTTTTTCTCTCTTTTTCACTCTCTTTTTCCTCTTCTTTTTCACTCTCTGTTTCCTCTTCTTTTTCATCATTTTTCTCACTGTCTTTCTCTTTCTTTTCTTTTTCTTTCTCAATGTTTTCTTCCTCTTTTACTTCTTCCTTCTCACTGTCTTCCTCTTTTACTTCTTCCTTCTCACTGTCTTCCTCCTCATCAATGCTTTCCCTCTCATTCAGTTCCCCCTCACGTTGATCTCCCTCTTCCTCAGATTCCGAGTGTACATCGGTAATAAAACAAATTTTTCCACGAACAACTTTAAGGCTTAATTTTGAGAGGGATTTTTCATGGAGTATGTTTTCTGGTTTCAAGGGGTGGGTTTCTTCATTGGTTAGAGGAACTTTGAAGGTTGGAAGTGGCGGTTGGTGTTTTGGGGTTTTTTGAGGTGAGTGGGTGCGTGTGGTAAGTGAGGTGAGAAGATAGGTGACGGTTGAGAGTTTAGTGGGATAGAGAAAAGGTTGTGATTTATTTTGACAATGATAAAAATTAAAAAACATAAGATAAAATCTAATTGAGAAAAAAATCTTTTTGTTGTTTTTAAATTTATAAGATAACAAAAATAATAAAAAGATAAAAATAAAAATTGAAAAATAAAGAAAAATAAAAATTACGAAAGAAAAAAAATTTCCAGTAAGTTACTTCAAAGTAAAATACTGGTTAACATGTACAAAGCTTTACAAAAAGGAACTTGGAAAATAATATGGCTTAATTTGTCTTCTTCATCAACATAATCACATGATCACATACTCATTAGAATTACACACTCTTTCATTGCAAAATTCGAGATTATGTTTTTCACACCAAGGTTATATATAGCAATTGCTCAGTCGTTTCACTAAGACATACCTTGGGGTTCCAAGAAGAACTGCTCAATTCAGCTTTATCATTCCGAGTTCCAATCGCATCTTTTCGAATTTTTCTCTACTCAAAGGCTTTGTTAGAATGTCAGCAATTTGATATTCAATTTGTACAAATTCTAGTTTAATAGAACCTTTTTCCACATTGTCTTTTAGAAAATGATGCCTAACATGAATATGCTTTACACGTGAATGATGTACTGGATCTTTTGATAGCAAATAGCACTTGTATTATCACAGTATATTAGAACACATTCAAGAACTATGCCAAAATCACGTAATTGTTGTTTTATCCACAACAGTTGTGTATTCTGCTTCTGCTGTGGATAGAGCAACTGTATTCTGTTTCTTGGAACTCCAAGAAACTAAACAAGATCCTAGGAATTGGACCATACCTGATGTACATTTTCTATTCACCAAATCCCCAACATAGTCGGCATCGGCAAATCCAGTAAGATCATATGTGTCACTTCTTGGGTAGAATAAACTCAAGTCGTTAGTTCCTTTGAGATATCTCAGTATTCTCTTGACGGCTGTTAGATGCGATTCTTTGGGGTTTGATTGGAACCTAGCACACAGACCAACACTAAAAGAAATGTCAGGTCTACTTGCAGTTAAGTATAGTAAGGAACCAATCATACCTCTGTACTTTGTCTGGTCCACACAAGTTCCTCAGAGATCTTCGTCTAACCTAGAGTTAGTTCCCATAGGAGTGTGGTTAGTCTTTGCGCTGTCAAGGTTATACTTTTTCAGGAGTTCCTTGACATATTTTTGCTGATGTATAAATATTCCTGATTCTGTTTGTTTGATCTGCAGTCCTAAAAAGAAATTGAGTTCCCCCATCATGCTCATTTGGAACTCACTGCACATCAAGTCAGCAAAGTACTTGCACAAAGATTCGTTAGTTGCACCAAATATAATATCATCAACATAGATCTGCACAACTAAGAGATGAGTTCCTTTAGATTTTAAAAACAAAGTTTTATCAATTTTTCCTCGTTTAAAATCATTTTCCAAAAGGAACTTGGACAATCTTTCGTACCATGCTCTTGGAGCCTGTTTTAGCCCGTAGAGAGCCTTATCAAGTTTAAAAACATGGTTTGGAAAGTTTGGATTCTCGAATCCAGGGGGTTGATCGACGTAAACTGTTTCTTTTAATAAACCATTCAAAAACGCACACTTTACGTCCATCTGATACAGTTTAAAACCCATAAAAGCAGCAAAAGATATTAAAATTCTAATAGCCTCAAGTCTAGCAACAGGAGCAAATGTTTCCTCAAAATCAATACCTTTCTGTTGGTTATATCCCTTTACAACCAACCTAGCCTTATTTCTTACAATTGTACCATATTCATCAAGTTTGTTTCGAAAGACCCATTTTAAACCTTATGACCTTTTTATCTAGTGGCTTAGGTTCAAGATGCCATACCTGATTTCTTTTGAATTCATTAAGTTCCTCTTGCATGGCTATAATCCAGTCA